ATAGAGCAGCTGGATAAGTTTTGTTATTTGGGCAGCTACATCTCACCCGGTGGAGGCATCACGGATGAAGTGTCTTCTCGGGTACAGAACGCTGGGTTGGCATTTGCTAACTTGAGACATCTGTGGCGCCGTCGCGACATCCGGCTGTCTGTGAAGGGTCGAGTGTATGCCGCAACAGTTCGGCCAGGCCTGCTATACGGTGCAGAAACTTGACCATTAGGAAACAGGATAAAGATAGACTGTCGGTGTTTGAACACCGCTGTCTACGCAGCACTGCACGAATCTGGTGGGGCAACCGGACGATCAATGCTGAGGTTAGGCGCAAAGGTTTAGGCAACCACGGACGCGCACTCGAGCAAGTGGTCGATCTCCATAGATTACGTTGGTTGGGACATGCGGTAGGCATGTCACCAGATAGGTTACCACGGCAAACGATGTTCGCCGATCCAGGTATTGAGTGGAACAAAGCCAAGGGTGGTCAAGCTAAGACCTGGCATGAGGGTATGAAAACCTCAAGCAAGTGTCTGGGTCACATAGGTCCTGTTCGGCTCCCTGGATGGGGACCTCGGGATGATCGTAACCGATGGTTAGCTACACTGAGTGATATGGCTGTGTGTCGTAAACAGTGACGTTCCTGCGTCTTCTCAATTTCTCCGCCCTATTAGTCCACGGAAATTTTGAATTTTGTCTTTGATCCTACCTTCAACCTTTCCTGTCTTTCTGTTCATTTAAATGGGCAACCAAAAGACAGCAACCATAACCGGCACACGAAAGTGAATAATTAATGTTTGTCGAACTGAAGTGAACTGATACGCTGTTGAGATGGATGTCAGGGAAATGTTTGTCGGTGAAAATATCTCCGCTATAGACGGGATCAAGAAATGTCTTGGGGTTGGCGATACCGTATCCTCTCGGTCTCTATCCCATTCTAATCGAGTATAGTTTTATTCGCACATCAGTGACATTTTCACCAATACGTACCCTGACTAGTATTAACTAGGGTTATTTCACGGTTGCGTAGTTCTTCCTGGGTGATGAAATTGCAATAGGCGTACACTTGTAATTTTGCTTTAAAAATCATGTAGGTTGCGGGGCCAGCAAATCTGTAGTGGTGAGAACCATAAATTTACTCCGCGATGGTGTTAAACCTGTTGTAGGACGTGGTTTATCTATTCCTCAGTCTAACATCAGCGAGGGAAGTGATTCAACACGCTGATGCATTTCGATCGACGGGCCGATTTCGGATAAGATTGCGTGACGGATTTAGAATGTTCGTTGGATATTTAACTGAATCATCTGTTGCTTTCACTTGACGTTCGTTTGTTCTTCCGGATTCTGAAAGACTGAGCTGTTTTAGGTACCTTGCGTTTACTTTCTTCATCACTTCTGTCGATTTCGCATTTTGCAATATACTATACTCCCTGAAATACCTCTTGTTTTCGATTGATATCATACCGGGAAAGCAACAAACATCATTTATCCTTGTGGGTAAACCTGTGGTCCATACAAGAAGTGATTCTTCCCCACTCACGATCCGCCTGTTCCTAATCACGTATTACATAATCAAATCCTCCGTAGAGATTGAAACACATTTGTACCTCACTACAATCTCTGAATTTATGATTCGAACAACTTGTACTCTCCGAACTTCGCGAAGTTTTTTGTGACATTGTCAGCCGCTGTTTTCTCGTGCACATTGAGCTGAAATCTTCAGGTACTCAGTAAGGTTTCCATTTTCGCTCGTACCAGCTGGGATGGGTGTCAAGTGCGTTGTTGCCCCTGACTGATCCTATCTATCCTATGTGTTTCTCACTCGCTCCTTACTGTCTTTGGCTATGGAATTTCCCCCTTTTACGATAAATCAGTGTATAGTCAGAAAGGAAATCAACGAAGAAACTCAGGCCGTTCTATTTCCTGTCATTTTTAGCTTGGTTTTAGTGTATTCCTCCATTATCCTTGCAATTTCATGCCGCTTTATTAGTTTCTGTCTTGATTATTGTTTGAAGGGGAGATTGAAATACTGGAATCCGTGTCAACGTGAGGAGATAGAAACATACTGTGATTGCTTAGAAATTGAATAACTGCACGAACACCACTGTTTGTGACATTCAGCTTTGGCTAACCAAAGGCTCCGGTTGTGGATTCCTCAAGCAAATTAATGTGCCATGGCCTAGGCAACCTGGCAGTATTCCGCCCACATGCAAATCATGGAATGTTTTTCTTTTTATAGAGTTTATTGTTGCATGATTTGTTTGGCACCGAATCTGGATTCAGGCGTGAGAATATATATATATATATATATATATATATATATATATATATATATATATAT